GTCTCCTGCCCAACCCAAGGTCAGTCTGTGGTTTGTGTGGAGGCTGCCTTAAATGATGCAAAAATTTTGCTACAGAGAAAGCGTTTTCCAAAATTTGATGGATTGCTTTTAGAGGCCAGAAGTTTAGGGTCTGTAATGGATAATACACTTGATTCTCTTTGTAAATGCTACCTTGGAATGTTCAACCCTTGAAGTGTTTTTGATTTTCATAAAATTCTTAGTATTATTGATTTTTTTCTGCATATGCAAATTTTCAAGATCAATGGTCCTTACAGACTCAGAGCCAGACTCCTCGTGTGACACCAGTAGGCCCACCTCCGACACCTGTGGCAACCACATCCAAGATCTTCGCTCCTCGTACTGAGGAAATGAACAAAGGATATTTGATGTTCTCTGAAGATGATCCACAATGCACAGGTAAGACATGTTTGCTTAGAATAGGATGTTGTGTAATGTGTGATCACAGGAGGATTTTGTCCCTCTTTAAAACTTTTAAATGAAAATAAAAGCAAGCATTGTTTCATCCTAATTTCAGTGCTGAAGGAAGAACCTGAGGACTTGACCCACTTGGCTCCCTCGGGGGGTGACACGTGCGTGCCCCTGCCTGCTTTCATGCCCAACCTGGATGATATGTTCTCATTTGACTACGCCCAGATACCCATTTCTAGCACTGATGTCCTCTTCACCACTGCCTCGTCTGTGTCTGAAGAGCAGGAGAGCAACTCCGGTTTTGAGAAAAAGCTAATCAGTGAAGAGAAGCGTCTTAGCAGCAGGTCAGCCTCTCCCTCCCCCTCTCTCTCTCTCTCTCTCTCTCTCTCTCTCTCTCTCTCTCTCTCTCTCTCTCTCTCTCTCTCTCTCTCTCTCTCTCTCTCTCTCTCTCTCTCTCTCTCTCTCTCTCTCTCTCTCTCTCTCTCTCTCTCTCTCTCTCTCTCTCTCTCTCTCCTCTCTCTCTCTCTCTCTCTCTCTCTCTCCCTCTCTCTCTTCTCTCTCTTCTCTCTCTCTCTCTCCTCTCTCTCTCTCTCTCTCTCTCTCTCTCTCTCTCTCTCTCTCTCTCTCTCTCTCTCTCTCTCTCTCTCTCTCTCTCTCCCTCTCTCCTCTCCTCTCTCCTCTTCCCTCTCCCCTCTCCCCTCTCCTCTCCTCTCCCTCTCCCTCTCCCCTCTCTCCCTCTCCTTCTCTTCCTCTCTCTTCCTCTCTCCCCTCTCCTTCTCCTCTCTCTCTCCCCCTCTCGTCTCTCTCTCTCCCCTCTTCTCTTCTCTTCTCTTCTCTCTTCTCCCCTCTCTCTTTCTCTCTCTCTCCTCTCTCCCTCTCTCCCTTCTCCCTCTCTCTCTCTCTCTCTCTCTCTCTTCTCTCTCTCCTTTCTCTTCTCTCTCTCCTCTCTCCCTCCTCTCATCTTCCTCTCCCTCTAACCCTCCCCCCTATGAAAGCTTTAAATATAAATTTTATTTGTAAAGATAGAAATTATATCATGTGCTTTCTGAAAGAAAACCCAGACCACATAAATGAAAATTTAGTTACATTCTAAGATTATTTTTCTTTTTAACAGGCTGAGTGGAGGAAACGTGATTATTAATAACAGCATTGGCAACAGTCCAGCATCCAGTTGCAGCAGTCCACCCGCAGGTGGACTTCGCACGCCTGAACCCCCAAAGCCTTTGCTTTCTCAGGCGGCCTTGCCATCAGTCCTGGAAAAGAAATTTAATTTTGGGGTAAGATTTTACATTCAACAGGAATGTGCAGATTTGGTAATATGAAGAAACTAACAATTGCTAAGATATTATATATTTTGTATGTGTGAGTGAGAGAGACAGTGAGTGAGTGTGTGCATGTATATATGTTTTTCATGTCCTTATGTGTCGGTGGTTTCTATTTCCATGCATCAGACAATTCATCATATATGAAAAATATTTTGAGAAAAATTCCTAAAGATTGTTGTGTTAACTCCCACAGACTTTAGGCTGCAGCAGTCATCCCAGAACAACAACAGAGAGTTTCTTCTCACAACTGGATGAAAGTTCCAACCCTGGTTCAGAGTTCACCAAAGTGGAGCTCAAGGTAGGTTGTGAATCCATCATAGAATACCGTTTTCTGCTATATCTTTTAAACTTCCTCTTGATTTGAAATGGTTGATTGAAACACCTTTAGTATCATGCTATTTGATGTTTCCCTCTTGCAGATAGAAGACCACAACATGGATTCTGATGAGTTTGACATGAGGGCCCCATACATACCCCACAGTGATGAAATGTTGGTGTTGAGTTCGGATGATTTGTTATGGGGTGCGGAGGTCGAGCCTGCTGTATCTCCAAAGAACCAACTTGGATACCACAGGTAAATTCCCAGAATGCCTTTTCAGATGATTTTTGAATTGTGTTTAATTTATTATATGGGGAATACTCTGTGTAGACACAGTAAGTTCATAAAATGTTTGTTCCTGTCCTCTAGAGAGACCAAGAGTTATACCTTAAACAGCAAGGAAGATTCAAGTCTTGCTCAGCTTCTGCGAGATACAGACCCACCCATTACCAGCTGTCGTACAGGGAAGGATAGTAAAGTTGATAACGGAGGAGGCTCGCAGCAGAGCCAATATGAACAAAGCAAGTTCTTTGACGGAGGGGAGAATTTTGTTGATCCAAACAAGGTACTTCCAGGACATTGTATTGGAAAAGGTAAGGGATTAAAGGCATTGCATTTGTGCGTAGATTGAAATTTGGCAAATATACTTTTGAGATTTTGCTTTTGAATTCTTATCTATATTTAAACCCATCAAACAGGAAAGATTTTGAGACAGGTAATGGAGACGAACATTATCTTTTCTCCTCATAACAGATGGTTTAGATGGATCTCCTGATTGCAATGACCAAGGTGAGGATGAGCCACCAGCTGTAATGGTGCAAGAGACAGTAGAGCCACCGCCACCCTTAATCACCATAGACACTAACCAGATGTCACTGGCTGTCAAGAGGGGGCCGTCTCCAAACTCATCTCCCATTCTCACCCACAAAAAGCTCTGCTCCCTCTCACATCGCCAGCGACAGATGCTATCATCTTCAGCAACTGGGGATGGGCATATAGCACTCCTGCAACCTCAGCAACAGCAACAGCAGCAGCAGACAGGAGTGCGCCTACTGACCACGCCTTATGCCCCCACTATGCAGCAGTTGCTGATCAGCAAAGAGCCCATCACAGTTCGGGGAAGACATTCTGGAGGTCTCGGCACCCATCAGAGTTCAAGCAATGACAGTAGACACTCAGTGCTTCGAAACCTGCTGGTGAGTGGGCGTGACGAGTCAGCTGGCTACTCAGTGTTGGCACCAGCAAGTCCTCTGGGTGCCACTTCAGGGAGCACCGCCACGCCTCCTGGCACTCACACGCCAAGTGATGATGCTAAGGAGAGAAAGGTACAGGGACAACTGCACAACCCTACAACATGAGACATAGTTTTTTTTCTTTTCAGTATTTGCTTGACTTCACTTTGTTGTGGAGCAATAGTACAATTGGTATTAGTTACTGTATTTTACTGTATTTGCAATGTAAAGTTTTTGTTTCCTTGTGCATTATTTAAATTTGAGTGCAATTATCATTATTTTTTTTATTTGCATGAGCTGATGGGGGGGGAAAGTATGTGAAATTTTTAAGACCATTATTTTTTTCAGCATGCCATTAGCATGTATTTTGAATGGTGTCAATTGTCACTTTAGGAATGTAATGGCTATATCACCAACTCCTAAGTGAATAGTACTAATTGCTCAAAGTCTCCAGTCTGTGTGATTCACAGAACAAACAGCCTGTCATTATGTAGGAGTAGTTTGCCTGCTCGTCTCTTAAAGCTCTTGCCAACTTCAGTATGATTAAGACATGACATGGTTTTTGCAGTGTCCCTGTATTTTTGGTGTGCATTTTGCTCTTCAGATGTTTATTTTATGCTTGTTTTATGCAGGTGCTTCCTTTTTCTTGATTTATTTTAAGCTCAGTAGATGTGATTTATGAAAAACTAGTACAGATGTATTTGAGAATTTTTGTTGTTCATATTGAGTAATCATAATCACTTTTTTAATATAAGTTTCTTCTAAATTCCTGAGAAAGATGAAACATGCAATTAGGTTTTAGTGCATTCTTGTTAAATTATCCAAAATGTGAGGACATGCATGTTAATTTTTTATCCAACTGATATAGATTTATAACTTAAAGAATGGCATTGTGGCAATAACCAAGATAATCTGATTTATGGATGAATTTGTGTAGGATCATTTATTCTCACATAATTGTAAGGAGTTTTGCAGAGATTCCTCTTTTCAGACTTGTCTGGAGATATTGCTACAAACCTTTTTTTTACCCCTATTTTCCTCATCACTACAGAATGTTGAAGAAGTTGGAAGTATAGTGAGGTGTGAGCCTCAACCAGGAGGGAGTGGAGTGAGTTCTGCAACGACGCGTCCGTCTCAAGACAGGATGACTGACATGGTTGCCACAGGAGGCAGTGAAACCAATACAGGCAATCAGCTTTCTGCTCCCAAACTGAGGCTTGTCACAGGCAGCCAAGGAACACTGATGCATGCTGGACATCTTGCCATCAAGGTTGCTTCAAAAGGCTCAGGAGATGGTTTCTTCAAGCGTGTGCGCCGCCAGGACCCACTGCTATTGATGGACCCTGACCTGTCGATTCCAGACTTGCTGGATCTTACACAATTAGACTATGAGGTCAACGCTCCTGCCAATAATTGTAGTCTACTCCAGGGATCTGACCTGCTCATGGCTTTAGATCAGAGTCCGTAAGGTTTCCTGTTCAGTGAACAGGGATTTGTGTTGAGGGAACATCCATCTTCATAGTTTCTTAGAAAGGATGAAGAAGATTATTGCTTTTTAGATTTTGAATGAATGAGAAGTATTTTTTTAGCTCTGAAATTTACCCTTACTTCCCCTTCTTTGTGGCCAATATGTTGTTGAAATGAAGGGACATAAGTAAAATTATTATGGTTGATAAATGCTCTTGAGCTTGGTATTCCAGGAGGTCTGAAACTTGCTTAATACCATATTCTGATTTGTCATCATCTCTCCTTGTTATTTGGATATCCCAAGTTTTGCTGAAGTTTATTACGATTCCTTCCTACCTTGATGCTGTAATTAATGTCTTACAGTTTAGGAATAATTTTTTTAGTGTGGCACTGAACCTTCTTATTTTTGCTGCACAAGACTGAAACTGATTAGTTTTCCCTCCATATCTAACAATATTTTTAGAAAGAAATTTAAAGCTATTTGTGCAGGATCAGTTAATTGTGCAAACTTATAAAATTAAAGAAGGAAAAGCATATATAAATTGTATATTATGGCATTGTTCTCAAGAAAATGTAATTGATAATTCAGTTTCACATTGTGATGGAGAACATGACAGGCTAATCCCTTTAGTGTTTTTTCCATAATAGATTTTATTCTTCCTAAGCAAGAGCAGTTGAGAATTAGGTTACAAGAGATTTTTTTTTGAAGATGAATAATTCTGCTGTACTGGAAAAGACAGTGATTCCGTGCCTTGGACAGAGTGTTTTATAGTACCTCCTTATTACCCTTCAGTGATAAAAACAAAAAGGATTTTTTTAGAAGTTGCCTAGGGTGTTCAAGATGTCTAGCAGTTTATCCTGTCCAGTATAATGTTATGTTTTGGCTGCATTTTGAGGAAGTATTGCATATGTCCTTGACTTGTTTCTTACTTTAGATTTTTATGCCAACTTGGAAATATGAATGTTTGGTGCAGCAAGTTTTGGATCTCATTACTGCAGACTAGAAGTAAATACTTCACTAAATTTTAGATGTTCTTCAATTGATGAGTGGTATGAAGTTGCCCATTTTTTATGTTTTGTGTTTAATTTAACTACTTATAGTTAAAAAGCATTGAAGTACGAACAGTTGGTTAATCAGTTGATTAAACTTTAGATATTATTTGTTACTTGCTGATATCTTGTACCAGAGCTTACAACCGTGTTACTTAAAGATAGTAAAATTATGTAGTTTCCAAGGAGTTTAGAGAACTTTTTTAAAAGAAACACAAATGGTACAAGTGTCCATAAACATTTTGTGTTCATTGTTTTCAACCAGCTTCAGCTAAAAATGCCATATTTGAAACAATGAATCAGAGGATCAGATTGGCAAATTTCAGATTCTATTTCATGAATTTAATTATGTATTTCCTTGATTTTTATTTTTTGTATTTGGTTTTATGTAATTTTTTCATTCCTCTTACATGTTTTACTTTTATACAAGCTTATCCATACTTGTGAATACTGCCAAAATGACCAAGTGTTTTCAGAGAGAGTTTGGGATTGAACAAGCCTTCAACCATGATGTTAAAAGTGTTAGTCTGCAGTGTCCTTAGCTAGATTGAGCTTAAAGGCTTGATTCTTAGATCTTAGCTTGAGACAAACCACTGTGTAGGCTGCTCATCCATCTGTTCTGAAGCATGAGTAAAAGCAGCTGACCTCGGTGGCCGAAAAGTTTGCGTGGCAGCAGCTTGGTAGACCGTAGACTGTCAGCTAGATCACTCTTCAAGTCAGCTGGGATGGATGATGTAGGGCAAAGGGAGGTACTCTCAGAATGTTGGAGGGACTTTGCCATATCAGAATACCATTATGATTTTCCATTAACCCCACCCCCTTAAGGAAAAGAATAATAATGATGAGAAGTTAAAAGAAAAGTTAATCATTAACTTCTTTGTGAAATTTTATAAGATCACAGGACATTATTTGAATTAGACTGTCAGAATAAGCTACAGAGATTTTAATGAGGTATGATAATAGAGCTATAATTTTGGAAAGGTGTTTGTTTATTTTTAATTCATGTAATCTTGAATTAGAAGTATGACTGTTGGTATTAACTTGCCCAGATGCAGAAGAATTCTCCTTGGAGTTGTATGCATGTGTATATATATAATTTACTGTTTTACTGGTGTCTGTGTGGTATGATTAGAAAAGAATTTATGTATGGAACTTTATGTCTGCATTTATTAGCAGTTTTACACTGTAACAGAAGAATTTGTCTTAAAATTGAAGGCTTTTTCCTGATTTGAATGACCAATTTATTTTTTTGCGTTGTATGTGAACTGTTAATACATGCAGAAAATCTTTATATTATTTTATCTTTATCTATATGGCTTTGTTTTTTTTCTCTTTTCTTTTTTTAGAGATATTTTAAGTTCATTTCATTTCCCCATTTTCCAATACAAACAAACGACAATAACATTCTTGCATTACCGTACTCAGTTATTTTTTTCTTCGGAATTGTCTGCAGACAACTTCGATTGCAATAATGGTTACTGCTCTACATATCCCACTTCTATTTTAGTTACTAGACTTTTGTGGGAGAGTAGATAGGTTAAGGATCCTTTCTGGCTAGTAAGACCTGCCACATTCTATTTACAGCAACCTCCTGAGTTGAAAATTAGATGCATGTCATATAGGTGGTGGATCGTGTATCTTTTTATGGCATTAGTATGAATGCTGTAATAAGTTAGTCTAAATTCATTTTCTCTTTCTCTCTCCTTCTCTTTCTGTTTTCTTCCCCCTGTTCCTGCTTTGCTCTCCCCCTCTCGTCTCTCTCCTTTCTTTCTTTTTTCTCGTCTCTCTGTTCTTTGATATTCTAAGCACTGAAAAGAAGTATAGGCTTGCTGTAGCAGTGCAACTATATGTTATTGGATTTTTTTTCTTTAAGATTTGGTTGCTTTTAATATTAAGGCTTAAACAAAAATCCTCAAATTTATTATCACAGAATATTTTTTTTTGTTCATGTTTTATTTCCATATTATTATTTTTGTAACATGGTGAAAAATCATCAAGCCATGCAGATTAAATTGATGTCATACAATCTCACAACACCTTATATAAAATTTCATGAGTATGTCTTCTGATTGCAGTATTCTACTCACAGTATGTGTGCCATGTGGATTTCAAGTATCTGTACTCTGTTTCTAGAATAATGTAAAGGATTTCCACAGAAGAAATATGTTCAGTCAGTGCAAATTGTGGTATGAAATAGGACATTAGGCAAGGAATGCTTGGCAAGTTATGTGATTTCATGAGCAACATATTTCTTCATAAATCCAAAAAAAGTATATGAAAAAATATTAACCATAGGTTTTTAGGAGTTTACAGCCATATTAGTTAATTTGTGCTGCAGGTATATCTCATACTTGTGGAAAACCAATCCATTGGCTCAAATTTTCTGATATGTCAAACTTCCTCATATATATATCTGACCCAGGCTTTACCCTAGAGCTTGGGGGTTCTTTTAGATCAGGTTACTGCCAGACTCATAACAAAGAGGCATTGACGTTTTCGTAAAGCAGAATTGTATCTTTCACTTGTATATTCCCCCTAAAGTGCTTAGGGTTTGCTACAAAGAAATCTACCTAACATTGTTGAAATGATTAATATTATTTTTTGATTTTTATACATTGTTGCATAACAAGAATGCCTCTTGCTATGATGCCTTTTCAATCTGTAGCGCTATGAAGAATTAGGTATGTAAATTATTACCATGGTTAGTGATCTGCTAAAGATAAAATTTGAGTGATGAAACTGTAATTGTATCAATTTAGCCTGTAATAAATTCAGTGTAGAATTGTCTTGTTAAGGAGTCACCCCCCCTTTTTTGACATTGTCGCCAAAACACTTCATGTAAAAAAGTCTGTGCTGCTCTCTTTAGATTACTGCATTTAGACACAAAAGCTATGCACTCATTTGGCTTTTTTAAGACTGATTTTGTAAAGTGTAAGTGTCAGAGATGTGAAAACAAAGTAAAAGCTACTTAGCAGACACATGAACTGGAGAGATATATTTTTTATTGCCAAGTAACCACAAGTTTTCAGTTTTAAAAAATTAAGACCCAAAACCAACTTATCATCACCATGTATTTTCTGTGGAGCAACAACTTTGGCTATGCTTTTTCCATTGTTAACAAGCTGTATACCCTTCCTGTACTTCAATATACATGCAGCAAGTAAGCACATTAATCTGAAGGTAATGTAAAAGTTAATTTTAGGGACTACAATAGCATTTAGGTCACTGAACTGGTCTTTTTTTCAGCTATATTTCATGAGAAAGCAAAAGTCAGGTGTGCAGCAAGGAAAGTAAATTTGATATTATTTGTAAGAACTCTTAAAAACAAATGTGTTGGAAATAATTTAGAGATATGCTTTAAGTTAAATGTTAGCTGATCACATGGCTATCAGATATCCATTACTAATCTGCATATATATATATATATAAACTGTGGTACAAACTAAATGTCTTCTTATCCTGTCTAAAGATAAGAACTGAACTAATGAAATCAAGAATTTGCTTGAAAATGTTTGGTGCAGCGCAGTCTGAACTTTCGTTAATCAAATCAAGAATTATTTTTAATGCCCATAGAACAAAGTGATGGGAGGATTCCAGATCTAAAAGCTTTAACTTTTTTTTCAAAGTTCAATTCATATTTATAATTTGGGAATATTTCAACAGACACAACGTCAGACTTTGCGTCCAATGTAAAGGAAAAAAATGAATTAAAAAAAATGAAATATGACAAGTGAGAGAGAAAAGAAAAGGAGAAAAAAAGTAATTCTCTTTTATGGAGTAAGATCCTATGAAAGAAAAAAATATTGAAAGGATGTGAAAATTAAGAGAAATAAAATTAGATAAAAATAAATAGGCTTTCAAGAGTAAAGGACAATTAATAAGAAGGTAAGGCAAAAGAGATATAGTGAAACTGGTAATATTTAATAAGTTTAAGTAAGATATAATGAGAATTTGTGTCATTAAAGGATGGGCTTCACGCAAACAATAATAAAATATCAAACATGACAGCAAATTATATGATACAGTGATCAAATTTCAACCTAGGTGTATGGAAGAATTGCTGATGAGGCTACAAACCCTTTGTGGAGATGCTAGTCAAATACCAAGACACTAAAGAATGCCCTCCCCCCCTCTCTCTCTCTCTCTTTTCTCTTTCTTTCTCTCTCTTTCTTTCTCTTTCTTCTCTTTCTCTCTTCTTCTCTTTCTTTCTCTTCTTTCTTTCTTTCTTTCTTTCTCTTTCTTTCTTTCTTCTTCTTCTTTCTTTCTTTCTTTCTTTTTCTTTCTTTCTTTCTCTCTTCTTCTTCTTTCTTTCTTCTCTTATCAAATAAATATTAATTTTATAACCTTACATATAGTCATATCTTTAACTATATACCTACCTCTACGCCCCTTCCTAACCTACGCTACCTTATTACACTACTACCTACCCATCCATCCCATCCACAACTATATACCCACCTCAAACCCTCCTACATCCTTCTGATCACCACCCACCCACATACGCACCCCTAACTCACCCCCTAACCCCACCCCACCCCACACACCCCCCCAGCCCGCCCACCTCACCACAACTCCACCCACCTACCTACCTACCTACCTACCTACCCTCACCCACCACCCACCCATCCCACTCCACCCACCCACCCACCCACCACCCACCCCACCCACCCACCACCCACCCACCTATCTGCAATATCATCTAACTATCTTCTTATCCTATCGGTCTAACTTCAATCTATCTATCTTTTTCTCCTAACTCATCCACTATCGTCTAGAATTTCCTATTATATCTTGGTCTTACATCTATATGAATCTAACACTACCTATCTCATTATGTTTCTTTCTACGTAATTCTCTAGCTGTCTGCTGGTCTGTCAATCCATTCATTTATTCATCCATTCATCATTTATCCGGCCATTTATCCATCCATCTATTCACCCATCCACTCACCTATCTATTTCTTTACCTATTTCAATATATATCGTCTCTCTGTCTGTCTGTCTATGTATCTATTTACATACTTATCTATATATCTACGTCTTTTTATTTGTGTTATTATCTCTCTCTCTCTATCTCTCATTCTCTCTGATTTCCTCATTCTCATTCTCTCTTATTTTCTCATTCTCATTCTCTCTCATTTTCTTATTCTCATTCTCTCATTTTCTAATTCTCTCATTTTCTCATTCTACTCCATTTTCTCGATTCTCTCTCTCATTTCTCATCTCACTCTCATCTTTCTCATTCTCACTCATTTTCCTTCTCATTCTCACCTCCATTTTCTCATTCCAAACTCCATTTTCTCAATTCTCTCTCATTTTCTCATTCTCTACATCATTTTCTCATTCTCACTCATTTTCTCATTCTCACTCATCGTTCCCATCTCTCACTCTCATTTTCTCTCTTCCTCTCTCTCTCTTCTCTCTCTCTCCTCTCTCTCTCTGTCTCTCTCCTCTCTCTCTCTCTCTCTCTCCCTCTCTCTCTCTCTCTCTCTCTCTACACGTCTTAACTTGAATCAGTCTCACCCAGCCTTTCTTTCTTCTCTCCTTCCCCTTCTTCCCTCTTATTTAACATTTCCCCTTCGTCAGCTTAAGGGCCAGGGTAGCCCTCATTCCTGCCGAAGGTTCTCCACGCCACCTGGTCGTCCTCCCTCCTGACGAAGGCTCTCCAGGCAACCTCAAGCAGGAAGGAAGCCGTAGCCAACGCCAGGCCGGCACCGAGGACGTAGAAGGCGCCCTGGGACTAAACGACGAACAGGAAAATATAAGAAAAAAAAATCAAAATTCATTCGTGTAGCACATGTTTCACCAGTACAACAACAAAAACAAAAACAAAACAAACAGATAAAGATTCAAATACGAAAATAAAGACAAAACAAATAAAGATTCAAATACGAAAATAAAAACAAAACAAATAAAGATTCAAATCAAAAAATGAAAACAAAAATAAAGATTCAATACAAAAATAAAAACAAAACAAATAAAGATTCAAATAAAAAATAAAAACAAAACAATAGGATTTCAAATACAAAAAAACTGAAAACAAACAAACGGAATCCTAAGCCACGACCTACAATGAATAAAATCAGAGAAAAAAAATTCACAAACACATCTCAAACCTACAATGAAAAAAAACAGAAAAAAAAATCACAAAACACACACAAAAACCCACCCTGAAGGAGACTCATGGGTTCCGGTGCGTTGCTTGTGACTTCGACTTCGCAAGGAACAGAATAGTAGTTTTTCTTGATGTGCTGAATCACGCCGAAGTACTTGAGCCAACGGATTCTGTGTGGGAGAAGAGAGGGAGAAGTGAGGGAGGAATAGGGCGAGGGAGAAGGAGAAGAGGGAGGGGAGGAGGAAGGCAACAGGGCGAGGGGGAAGTAGGGGAGGAGGGAGAGAGGAGGGAGAGAGAGAGGAAGAGAAGAGATAAGAGGAGAGAAAGAGAGAGAGAGAGAAGAGAGAAGAGAGAGAGAAAGAAGAGAGAGAGAGAGAGAGGAGAGAGGAAAGAGAGAGAGAGAGAGAGAGAGAGAGAGAGAGAAGAAGAGAGGAGAGATGAGAGAGAGGAGAGAGAGAGAGAAGAGAGAGAGAGAGAGAGAGAGAGAGAAGAGAGAAAGAGAAAGAGAAAGAGAAAAGAGATAAAGAGAGAGAGAAAGAGAAAGACAGACAGGGAGACAGAAAGAGAAAGAGGACAATCGGATAAACATACAGACAGATAAACACACGGAAAGGCCGACAGACATACAAGTCAACAAACACCCAACAGATGCAACCAAAGTCAAAAATACAAATAAATAAATAAAACATAAATAAAAAATAAAAATAAAATTGAGAAAACTAAGAAAACAGTGACCCATCGCCCTACGTGTCATCGATCTGGAAAAGAATGGGGCTGTTCTTGGCGAAGACGAACACGTCGAGGTCGACCTTGACGGGCTCCTTCCCCAGGTAGAAGCGACACCGTTCTCCTCTGCGCTCGTACTGCATCGCGCGCCCCACGGCCGAGCTGTACACGTCTGCGGGGAAGGCGAGTTAAGGGTGAGCCCGTATCCCTGTCAATGGTTGGATAATGGTGGGCCCGTATCCTTATAAATGGTTGGATAATGGTGGGGGCCGTATCCTAATAAATGGTTGGATAATGGTGGGCCCGTATCCTAATAAATGTTGGATAATGGTGGGCCCGTACGTATCCCTAGTCAATGGTTAGGATATGCTGGGGTATCCCCGTATCCTATATGGGTGGATAATGTGTTATCCCTATCATGGTTGAATAATGGTGGTCCCGTGGGCCGTTGATCCCGTATCATCAAAGGTTGGATAATGGTGGGCCCGTATCCCTGATCAATTGGTTGGTGATCAATGGTTGGATTAATGGTGGCCCGTATCCTGATAAATGGTTGGATAATGGTGTGCCCGTATCCCTATCAATGGTTGGATAATGGTGGGCCCGTATCCAGATAAATGGTTGGATAATGGTGGGCCCGTATCCCTTCAATGGTTGGATAATGGTGGGCCCGTATCCCTATCAAAGGTTGGATAATGGTGGGCCCGTATCCCTATCAATGGTGGATAATGGTGGGCCGTATCCCTGATAAATGTTGGATAAGGTGGCCGTATCCCTATCAATGGTTGGATAATGGTGGGCCCGTATCCTATCAAAATGGTTGGATTAATGGTGGGCCCGTATCGGTATAATGGTGGGCCCGATCTGATAAATGGTTGGATAATGGTGGGCCCGTATCCCTATCAATGTTGGATAATGGTGGGCCCGTATCCCTATCAATGGTTGGATAATGGTGGGCCCGTATCCAGATAAATGGTTGGATAATGGTGGCCTATCCCTATCAAATGGTTGATAATGGTGACTCAGCCCGTATTCCTAGTATGGCCCGTATCCCTATTAATGGTGAGGCCGTATCCCTATAGATGGTTGAATGATTGTGAGCTCGTAACCTCTACAGATGACTAATTAATTAATCTATACAGATGGTATATTAATGATAAGCCAGTATCCCTGCAGTTGGTTATTTAGCGGTAATCTTATTTTCTAATTTGGCTAATTCATGATCCTATTTCCTAATACAGCTAATTAATAGTGAACCCGTATCCCTATAAATGGCTAACTAATAGTAAGCCCGTATCCCTACAGACATTTTTTTCCCCCATAGATTCTAAACTGTAATAAAGATGACAGAGACCTTTATCGGGAATAAATGAGAATAATTCTACTTAGAAACAAATACTATCTCAACGCACCCACGAGGGCGTAGGTCCCCATCGGCCACCGACTCGAAAGAAGCTCCCACGACGACATCTCAGCGTCCGTGAACACGCCCACCTCGTCTCGAACCTCGTGCAGAGCTCCGCCCTCCGCCGTCTGGGTGTGGCGAGACAAGGCCATGAGAGAGAGAGAGAGAGAGAGAGAGGGAGAAGAGAGAGAGGAGAGAGAGAGAGAGAGAGAGAGAGAGAGAGAGAGAGAGAGAGAGAGAGAAGAGAGAAGAGAGAGAAAGAGAAGAAAGAGAGAAAAGAGAGAAAGAGAAAGAAAGAGAAGGAAGAAAGAGAGAAATAGAAAGAGAAAGATGGAAGTCATCTTTCCTCCCTTTCCTTCCCTCTTCCACACCTTCTCCCCCTCCCTGCCTCCTACCTGCCCCCTTACCCCTGTACTCACCAACGTCTCCAAAACGAGCGTCTTGCTCCTAAGTGCCGGTCGAATAGAGCTGCGAGCGAGGACCTCCACCGAATCGACAGGCAGCGACCTTCAAGGACAGACAGACAGAGATGAGATAACTGATTAAGAGGGAAAGAAACGATTAAAAGGATACGAAGAGGTTAGATAACTGATTAAAGGGAAAGAAATGATTAAAAAGGATAACGAAGAGTTTAAGTGAGATAACTGATTAAAAGGGAAAGAAAATTTGATTAAAATTAGGAAATGAAGAGGTTTAAGTGAGATAACTGATTAAAAGGGAAAGGAATGATTAAAAAGGATATGAAGAGGTTTAAGTGAGATAACTGATTAAAAGGGAAAGAAATGATTAAAAAGGATATGAAGAGGTTTAAGTGAGATAACTGATTAAAAGGGAAAGAAATTATTAAGGATATGAAGAGGTTTAAGTGAGATAACTGATTAAAGGAAAGAAATGATTAAAAGGATATGAAGAGTTTAAGGAGATAACTGAAATTAAAAGTGAAAAAAAATGATTAAAAAGGATATGAAGATGGTTTAAGTGAGATAACCGATTAAAAAGGGAAAGAAATGATTAAAAGGATAAGAAAGAGGTTTAAGTGAGATAGACGGATTAAAAGGAAAATGATTAAAAAGGATATGAAGAGGTTTAAGTGAGATAACTGATTAAGAGGGAAAGAAATTGATTAAAAAGGATATAAAGAGGTTTAAGTGAGATAACTGATTAAAGAGGGAAAGAACGATTTAAAAAGGAAATGAAAGAGGTTTAAAGTGAGATAACTGATTAAAAGGGAAAGGATAAAAAGGATTGAAGAGGTTTAAGTGAGATAACCGATTAAAAGGGAAAGGAATGATTAAAAAGGATATGAAGAGGTTTAAGTGAGATAACTGATTAAAAGGGAAAGGAATGATTAAAAAGGATATGAAGAGGTTTGAGATAACTGATTAAAAGGGAAAGAAACGATTAAAAAGGATATGAAGAGGTTTAAGTGAGATAACTGATAAAAAGGGAAGAAAATGATTAAAAAGGATATCAAAGTTGAGATAACTGATTAAAAGGGAAAGAAATGATTAAAAAGGATATGAAGAGGTTTAAGTGAGATAACTGATTAAAAGGGAAAGAAACGATTAAAAAGGATATGACGAGGTTTAAGTGAGATAACTGATTAAAAGGGAAAGAAATGATTAAAAAGGATATGAAGAGGTTTAAGTGAGTACAAATGACTGATGTTAATATAGGGAAGGAATGATTAAAAAAGAGTATGAAGAGTTTTAAGTTGAGATATACTGATTAAGAAGGAGAAAAGGAAATAATAAAGGATAATGAAGAGAGGTAAAGTGTGAGATGTAAGCTTTGGATTAATATATGGATTAAGGAACAGGAAGCAATTAAAAAAAGGATAATGGGATGGGTATAAAGAATAACCTTGCATTAAAAGGGAAAGAAAAGCGAATTAAAAAGATATCAAGAGTGTTATTTAGTGAGATAATACTGATTTTTAAAAAGGAAAGGAACGCATCAAAGAAGAATATGAAGGAGGTTTGAGTATAACTGATTAAAGAAGAAAATCTCATTCTAAAAAAGGATATGAAGAGGCTTTAAGGTGCATAGATAGTCATTCGCTGATACTGTTTAATATGTATCTTTCCTACCTACCTTATCTATCTATCCAGTCCCCCCTCTTCGCCACCTATCTATCCACGCTACTTTCCTATCAGTTCTATGTTTCTCCTCCCTCTCTCCTTCTTCCCTTTCTCTCCCTCCTCCTCTTTATCACCTTCTATAGTTTTTTTTCAAAACTTGGTATTTTAATTTTGTTTCATTTATATTCAATTTGGATTTTATTATGTGTAGAAGCTACTGATGGACGACACACACACACACACACACACACACACACACCACACAAAACACACACATCACACACGACACACACACACACACACACACACACACACACTACACAAAATCCATGATATATTTGTTTTTTCCTAACAAGAAGGGCTCTTCAAGATGTTGAATTAACTGTCCTTTTGAGACCAAATTAACTACTGTAAATCTTGCCCCCAAAAATATATAAAAAAATAAATATAAAAATAAAAATATACATAAAAAAATCAGAAAAGAAATCTCAAAAACTCCCCCTCCTTCCGCGGCCCACTGAAGGGGATGCGAGGAAGGGCCGTGACGGAGCCGCAGATAACAAAGGACCCGCCGATCATCGAGGGCTCACCAGCAGCCCGTGGACTCCTACGAGGTGGGCGGCGGGCAAGCGCGAGGCCGGGCGGGGCTGCCTGGGTGGAGGGAGGTGGGTGGGGTGGGGGGACAAAAGTTTAGTCTTTGATTGATTCCGTGTCTTATTATTTTGTTTGTTCGTTGTTTATGTTGTTGTTATCAGTCATTAGTTGTTAATCAATTACCCTTAACTATATTATTATTTTATTATTATTATTATTACTATTATTGATTATTTCATGCATTATCATTATTTATTATTATTATTATTATTATTATATTATTATTATTTAACATATAATATTAATTTCAATTACTATATTTTAATATTATTATTATAATTTATCAAGTCTATCCAACCATTTTGTTATATTAATCATTACTATTGAATTGATCATTATCAAATATTTAACCAATGAAACAATAATCATAATCTTTTAATCAACTCCACCGATGAAATCACGACGAATAACAAATGATAGTAAAGTCTGACACAAATTTTATCATGCACGGAGACCCCCGACAACGATAAAAACAAGAAAACAAAAGAAAAGAAAAAATGGGAAAGAAAGACGAGACGAAGAGAGAAAATGAAAAGAAGAAAGACGATATAGAAAAAACGGAAGAGAGGGGAGGAAAGACAAAACTGAAGAAAAATATAAAGTAAAGATGAAAAACAGCGCCTTCACAGCAGCTCACTGTTGCGCCTAGAATATATATCAGCGTGGAGTCGGCATGATGGCGTGCCGGGGTACGACCGCTCTCTGCAACAGCACCTGTAACTGACGTGGTCCGCATGTTTATGGAGCGAGTTGCCTTGATTATGTCGCGCTGTTTTGTACACAACGGTGCTGAGTTGTCGGCCGTGGGTTGATGGGCTTCAGTCCCGGGCCGTTTTAGCCCTGTGCGACATCTCGCGTCGTCCTCTCCGTAGTCGCCGCCCACGTACGTAGCTGCGATATCGCATTTATTGCGACAGCACAGCTACGCGGGCTGGGATAACGCAATGTCGGTGGCCTGCGGTTACGGGCTATCAGATAGCCTGAAATTATCCGTCACTGAGTGAGGATCTTGCGTCCCGAAGAGAGTCTGTTCAAACGCAGATTAAAGAAGGTAGGATTGCAGAAAACCTATGGAGAAACTAGCAAGTAGATGGATATCGACACGTACAGTCGAATTACCGCGGATATAAGATGGCGCAAAGATTCCATGAGGCGACCTGAGTAGTCACGCAATCCGAGGTTTTATCGGAGTACACGGTACCGTCCAGTGATGTAGGGACGGGGGAGGCGGGTAGCTAGATAGGCGGGATTGGGGTATTTATATTGTGGTAAGGTAATATTGGCGTATATAGTAGAATTATGAGGGAGATAGTGATGAGAGAGAAATAGCGATGCAGGGATAGATCACGGATGGATCGATGTGAAGACGTAGGGAAAGAAGAGAGTTTACGTGGAGAGAATGTAAGCGAGAAGGAGATCGGAAGAGAGAAATGGAAGAGTAGGATAAGAAGTGGGAGGAAGAACGAGATTTGCCAGAGAATGGAATGAGAAGTGAATGTAGAGTAGATGAGGAATGAAGAAATGACGAGAGAGCACACCAAAGATTGCACAGAGATAATGGTAAGATAGAGTGAAGAACAGGAGAGAGAGAAAGAGAAGAAGGAGAGAGGAAATAAAGAAAGGGAGAACAAAGGCAACGACAGACAGAAAAGAGTGAGGAATAGAAATACGGAGCGAGAAAGCGAGACGATGAAAATGACTCACCGAAATAACAATAACGGATCTGATTCATATTAACTCGCTCATGATAATGGGCGAAATAGACGATTGGATGAATAAGGCGCGGCAGAGGAGACAGGGGATGAGAGATGGGCAGAGATCCAGGGAAGACGCAGGGAGACAGGTAGCAGACATGGAGAGGAAGAGAAAGAAGAGAGGAGAGAGAGATGGAGAGAGAGGAGAGACGAAGAGAGAGAGAAGAGAGAAGAGATGAGGAGAGGAGAGATAAAGAAGAGAGAGAATGAGAGAGAGGAAAGAGAGAGAGAACGAGAGAGAAAGAGAGAGATAGAGAGAGAGAGAGAAAAGAGGGGGAGACAAAGTGACGAGAAGGGAGAAGAGGGAAAGACAGGAGGAGAGGGAGACATGGAGAGAGGGAGAGAAGGCATAAGTCAGGGAGATAAAAGTAAATATGGAGGGGAGAAGAGAGGGACAAAGTGAGAGGAATGGAAATAAGATAGACATGATATAATAATGTAGGTAATAGTAAATGGAATAAATGAAAGAATAAAGGATAAGAAGGAGGGAGAAAGAGAGAGTAGAAGAGAGAGAGAGGGAGATGAAGGAGAGAGACGAGAGGATGAGAGAGAGAAAGGAGAGAGAGAGAGAAGAGAGAGCAAGATGGAGGAAGAAGAGAGAGAGAAAGAAGAGAGCAGAGAGGAGAAGAGAAGAAAAGAGAGAGCAGAAGAGGCAGAGGGACGCAATACCACGATGGAGGATGCCAGGAGGATAAAGAAGTGGACCGGGAATGGGAGAAGCGAGGTGAAGGAGAGATGGAGGAAGGATAGAGGTGTGCTATGAGAGGGACGGTCATAAGGACGAGAGAGGCGAGAGAGGAGAGAGGAGAGAGGAGAGAGAGAGACGGATAGAGAGGAGATGAAGACAATAGAGAGAGAAGATAAGGTGGGACAGGCAGAGTAGAAGAGGAAGAGAGAGAGAGAGAGAGTAGAGAGAGAAGAGATGAAGCGCAGAGAGAGAGAGAGAAATGATAAAGCAATGAAAATGTAAGAGAATAGAAAGAGAAGGGAAGATGAGAGAGAGAGAGTA